TATATATATATATATATATATATATATATATATATATATACTACTGCAACATAATTGTAGGAAAGCAATGGTTCCTTCAAAGCAGACTAAGATGACAGCTGGATCACGTATAGATCTCCTATCCTCAATTAATAATTAGAGTTTTGCTATAATCTGTTTGAAGCTAAGATGCAAATTGCATTGGGTAAAAAAAAAAAAAAAAGAATAAACAAATAAACCCGTAATGTTTGCAGTCTTCCTTGATTAATAGAATTCGGACAGAAATACCCAGATATCAATCTGATTGGTTCACAATAAAGTTTCTGATTTTTTATTTTGTCCAACTTAAATACAATTTCCAACTAATTTCCATCACGACAACGTGTGCTTGTAGCCCGCAGTTTACAAGCAGGTCAGAAGGTGGGGGAGTATGCGTGCTACTTGCATCATTGCTGTGCTTCATCTGCTCTACAGTTTCAAAGCAAAAAATATAAAGTACCTGCTTCCCTTTAGTAATGAACCGGTTCACACATTTTCAAAGCTCTTGAAGGCCAAGGTGGTTTAAAATATGGAAGTTCTTGAGCCAAGGTGAGAGAAATAAGGAGATGGAGGCTTTGTGCAGTTTTGATGTGAACCACAGCGGCAGACAGTATTATGTGCCGCTCAAGAAACTACACCCAGGTGCTACTGGTGAGAAGCCGGTAAAAACTAAAGCCACCACAAGTTACTTTAAAGCTGCTGAACACACTCTGAAGTTTTTGTCTGTCTGTTACATACAACCCCCCCAAACTAAGAGCTTATGGAAACATTTAGTCACCTGTTTAGCTGATTAAAGTCATACCTGCATGTCTTATTGCGTAGATTTCTTAATACCTACATTAATTAAAGGACGTCGAAGTTTTTCCATCAAAACAATAATAAACAAATAACATCAAATATATATATATATATATATATATATATATATAAAGTATTGAACTACGAAAAATTATATATGTATTTAACATTTAGATAATTCTGCTCCAATAGGAATACTACGCTAAGCTCATGTGAGACGGAGTTCTGCTGTTGCCAGATTCTAGTAGCTCTAAGAAATTCTTCTCTGCTTTACATTTCTGAGATACAAGCAGACCAAAAAAGAAGCTAAACTGGGGGTGAACAGTGATCAAGTTTTTGAGAGTTGATGCCGACTTAAAGAAAAGAAAAAGGAGCCAAAAACCTGGAAATAAGCTGGCAGAAAAATAAGCCTAACACTGGTCTATATCTAGATTATACTTATCATAGCCGACATTGAAAATAGTAAAACTGTTTTACTTGCAAAAAAAAAAAAGCCTTTCTTATTTGTTTTTGAAACAATAAAGGCAGCTAATTAAAAGTTAAACTATTAATATTAATAATTTGCTAATAAATTATATAAAAAATGAAGCTGGCCTAGTTAAGTTTTATGTCAATCTTGGTAAGATTAAAATTGTATCCCGTAAAAAGATAACAGATAAGGAAAGGTTTGGGCAATGTTTCAACAATGGCTTTAAGTTTTTACAGATGTATTCTGTCAGAAACGCTTGATGTGAAGCCTGATTAACTCACTGATGCTGTGGGTTTCTGTATCTCACTATTAGAACAGCAGTTCACACTTTTGATTTCACAATAAGATCTGAACACTTTTTTAAAGATGTACATGTGCAAAGAACACCATTAACAGAAAAACCTTGCTTAATATACCCTCATATGCAAGACCTAAAATGTTTTAGATACTTCATAACAATAATACACTATGAAGGTGTTTTGGTTTCTACTTGTAAAAAGAACAAGGCATATTTTTTTGTTTTAACTTTTAAGTCTGAATTAAAAGCCAAACACCTACTGTATGAACTTCTGGTCCTATTAAATCAGCCTTGACCTGAAAATAATATGAGTACACTGCCAACAGGACAGAGGACTCTCAGACGCTTTGGATTTCTAGGACAAGCTTAGAGGTCTAGCAGGCATTCTGAAAGTTCCACTGAAGTGGAAAAACCCCGAGTGTTTTCCCACTTGAGTAAATAAAGCTATTGGAGATAGTCCATCCATCACACTCTGACCAAAGTCAACCTCCATGATTATTATGGGACAGACATTGAAAATATCATGGAAGTAAATGTTCCCCAGCCAATTTCTAAATGCCCTCACACCACTTCTTCTAACTGCTGCTAATCTGGGATGTTAGCTGGAAACTCACGAGGAACAGACACCATGAACCTTGGTATCAGCTTACCTGTAAACAGAGACAGACCGCTGACAGGACATCATCACACGGTCCAAGAAAACTCCTAACATCATGTTCACATTTTAGGTCGTTAAAAAGGGACAGACGAGGATATGCAGTATTAAACACACCTGATCAAAGCGTGTGACTAGTTTCTCCATACAGGATGAGTCTTGAAGCGTTCGCTGTTAACAGAAGGCTGTTGTACAAAATATTAATTAAATATCAGTGAGTGTGTTCCATTCTTTTTCCTGTTTCATTTCACATTACCACACATAGCTTAACTTCTGAGTTTATTTGTTTTGGCGTCTTTCTATATATGGATTACTTAGTTTGTTACCCACACCTGGTGGAAACTTCAGGTCAAATGTTTAATTTAAAATAATGTTAACAATAAAAAATGGGGATGTAATTATTATATCCGCTGTATTTGCCAAAATGCATTTAATTAAATCAGATATGTATTTGAGGAGGGTTTATGCTGAGGGCTCCTGGCTCTGAGGGTGCTTCCTATCACTTCTTATCAGCAACTGACTCTCTGAGGCATTTACCCGAGGCTGTTACCCTAGAATGTTAAAGATGGAGAGAGATAACCTTGCTTTTACAAGAAATGGAGTCATACTGCAAATTGTTTCTGGTAAAATACAAAGCTAATTTCACCTGAGAAACTGGCCTGATACTAAAGACTGAAAATCTCACCGTTCTCGAGTGACCCGCTGCACCACTTTTATGCCCCTCAGCACACAGGCTCTGCCCTGCCACATCTGGCAGTACTGGTGGAGCTCGTCGCTGTTGGAAAGAGGATGGAGCTGGAGCACGCTAAAAATCCCAAAGCTATCCTGGATGAGCACACATAACCTGAAAAAAAACAAACAAACAAAAAAAACAAACAATATATAACATGTTGATCATAATTCCTAAGAGAAATAAGGCATTTTTATGTACCGTATTTTCACGACCATAAGGCGCACCGTACTAAAAGGCGCACTCTCAGTTATGTGTCCCATTTCTGTATTTAACACACACATAAGGCGCACCGGACTATAGGGCGCGTTTTTTATATACAGGTACATGTCCTCTACTACCTTTAAATACCTCTACTGCGTATTTAAAAATACAGCGGGGGCAAAACTGAGTATGACTGTGCTTTATTCATGTATTTATTACAAAGTATTAATCAAACCTGGCAGCTGGCCGTGAGACAGACACATCGCAGATGACACAGCGCTGTGGTCACTCCTAAATTAACTTAAAATCCTGAAACCTGCCGACAGAATATGTTCGCTTTTATTACCGGTATCCTGGTGCCTGCAGTTTCAATTATTTAGATGAAAAACACCTGCCAGCAGCCGCGGTGAACGAAAGGATTTCTGCTGTCGGTGCACCGCTGGTATGTGGGGGTCTGAGCGCCTCCGACAGAAATAGATAATCTGGATGAACTGACTGCAATTATGAAGTTTTCAGGTGGCCTTTCTCACTTAAAAACATATTAAAACTACTTTATTCCCACTGATCACAGCAAATATAGCTGCAAGATTAAGATTATTTAGATGAAAAAACACCTGCCAGCCACCGCGGTGAAGAGGAGGAGACGCGCCCAGAGGCTGCTGTTGAATTAAGTTTTCAGGTAGAAAAATAGAGCGGGAGCAAAACTGAGTATGATTGTGCTTTATTCATGTAGGCTATTTATTACAAAGTATTAATCAAACCCATCAAAGTCATCATCCTCTGTTTCTGAATTAAACAGCTGCGCTAAATCAGACATGCCAGTTTCCCCTTCTGCGCTGTCAGTCACTTTCCGTGCAGCGCAGCTCCTCAGAAATAATGCCGGCTTTTGCAAAAGCTTGAAGAACAGAGCCAGCAGACACGTTAGTCCAAGCATCTACAATCCATCCGCAAACTGTGGCGTAACTTGCCCGGCGCTGCCTTCCACTTATCCTGAAACTGTGGTCTCTGTCGGTCATCCATCGCTCCCACGCCGCTCGCAGCCTTACTTTGAACGGGCGCGTCACACCGATGTTGAGCGGTTGAAGTTCCTTTGTCAGACCCCCCGGGATAACGGCGAGCACAGCGTTCATTGATTCACCTTTTTTTTCACATCGGCTGTGAGATGGGCACGCAGCGATGGTGATGCGTGGAAAAAAACACCTGGTCTCCTCACATAGGCTACACCTCCCTCAGCCACGCTTTCATCATCTCCTCTTTCATCAGAGCGCTGTGTCTGTCTTGCTGTCAGCTCCCAGATCAGCTTCTCTGATTGGTTGATGCGGCGCGTCCAGCAGCAAAACTTAAAATTTTCCATCTCGAGCAGCAGCAGCGCGTTGGCGGCGCTTCAGATGCTTAAACGATCCCGACGTGCTGCACCTGCGGCTCAAAACGCGCTGCAGGACCTTTTGCTGCACCTATACGCGCGTCAACCATTGACTTTGCATGTAAACTCGCTGCTTCTGCTGCACCTGCTGGGTCCGGTTCACACCGATGTTGAGCGGTTGAACAGCGAGCACAGGGTTAATTTGTTTCCCCATGTTTTTCACATCAGCTGTGAGATGGGCACGCATGGAGTTACAGATTAATGGTGATGAGTGGAAAAAAAACAGCTGGTCTCCTTACATTCAGCCACTCTTTCATCATCTCCTCAATGAGGTGGTCTCAAAAGTCGCAGTTACAACACATAGGGCGCACCGCACCATAGGGCGCACCGCACATTTTGAGGGGAAAAAAAGACGTTTAAGTGCGCCTTATAGTCGTGAAAATACGGTATTCCCATTTTTCACTTTACAATCACATGCTTCACTGTATTTTACAGATATATTGATATTGAAAAACTCAGTTGAACTATGCCTAGGGCAAAAATAGACTGAATTGCACTGGGGAAGCTCTACAATATGAAGCAATAAAATGGCAGTATTATGCTACAGGGATAGTGTTTTTCAAAAAAGAGGGAGGAGCTGGCCAATTTCAAATCTGAGGAAAAAATTAGCAGATATTGTGACCTATAGGGAGATTCAGAGTGGCTGAAAAAAAAGGGAGGTTCAAAGCCATGCAGCTAAAAGTTGCAAGAATGATAATTGATTAAAAAAAACAATACTAGATAAAGTTTATAGTGCAACCATGCTTCATATACAGTTACGTTTTAGATGCTCTTTTGATACTTTGTTTCTTATAAAAGTGCCACAATAAGCTGAGTCATTTTTTTTTTTTGGTTTAATTGTTTAAAGGTTTTCTACTATACAGCATTATTATTACTCTACTATTGTTATTTCTGATGGTCTGAATATGTTTACATGCACACAAAATCTCTCTTCATTCTCTGGCGTTGTACCCATTCTTTCTTTTAGTGCCCACAATGACCGCAGATATTTTTGCTTGTCAGTTTGAATCAGACTTTCAGAAGTACTAAAAAAGCAACAAAAAACTGAAGCCGCAGCCAAGTTCCAGATTTGGAAGATCTGTTTATGTGTGGTAAATATATATGCATATCTTCCACAAATGATTTGCATGGTTTAGTCACTAGATTATGTTTACACATGTTGTCTGCTGAAATGCAAATGCTTAACACTTTGCACCGTCTTTGAAGATCTGTTATGAGCATATTAACAGGTTTGCACCCGTTTTAAGAAGCCCAAACCATCAGAATATCAGGGCCTGGTTGGGTTAAATAAAGAAAATATATTACTTTGACATTATATTGCAAAATATCTGAATTAAGCAAATATAGTGCAAACTTAACTGAAGTAAGAGTTGACCTACAAAGGAAAGCTGAAATACCTATCATGGTTTCCAAAAAACTGATTTGAAAAATCAGAGGACTTTTTTTTTTAATTACTGTAATGAAACGTCACATTGTGCTGTGTCACACAAACAATGCAGGGTTGATACTTAGTTGTGACATTTCTGTGTTAATGCCAGGAGCTGGTTTGACAGGCTGCTGCTGACAGAGCAGACCTTTGCTCTACAGAGTTATGGAGGGAGTGAGGAGTCGACTATTCTTGCACTCTGTTGCTCCCAGCAAGCTTAGACCCTCAACGGCTAAAAGCTTCAGTATCAGTGAGAGTCAAGCCCAGACAAAGTCCTGCACAACCCGAGAGTAAACAGTGGAGTTCATGTACTCTTGTTTGACAAGCATGGTCAGAGAAGACGAGGAGGAGGAGGAGGAAGATAGAAAAAAAAATAGCAAGACGGGTAGACTGTCCACCAAGCCTGTGCATGTATCCACACACCCCAGACGCTAGAGATATTTGAGGCTTTCAACCACCTGATTGGAGCTATGAATGTTTTCTGTTGCTAAACTTGGAGTTTGTGTTTGTCTTCAGAGAAGGCGATGAAGATATGAAAATAACATTCCTGACTTTACTTTAGTAGTCTGACCATGATCAACCGGGTCTATTCTCAGCTGTTTACTTTAGTCAGTGTATTCATAGTACCAAATCAGACATATACAACCCATTGCAGTGATAACATTTGCTGTGGGATTAAAACAAAAACAGATGACAAGCAAACAAAGGTTTAACACTAGGTGGAGACCAAACTAGTCTCCCAGTATGATAGTAAAATGACATATCATGATAGTTTGTGTTAATACCAAGGTATTTGCATTAACACTGCAATAATCGCTATACGATCCAGTTGCTTTGATTTAAATGTTATCCCATAACTATTTGACAACTAATGAATAATTACTTTTACAATACCTATACATTCATTTATATATTGTTTGTTTGACATGATAAAAAGACCAAAAATTTAGAATAAATATAGCAGTAGTTCTATGCATTCATTGAGGGAAGTATTACACTGCGCTACTATTTTCCTCTTTATAGTGTAATAAAGTTAGTTTTTAAGCTGATTAACTGTTAGGTTCAGCCACTTTTATACTGTTAGTATAACAAGCTTGCAGAACTGTGATCCCTTATTAAGTCATGGATGGTGCTCCTTTAGTTCCCACCTGTGATGGTTGGTCCTTTTTTTTGTACGACTGGAGAAATCGCTAAACCGCCAACTTTGCCCTCCAACCTTGGGCAAAATATGGCAGGATGCACAGCAACATGTGGGGGAGGGGCAGTATTGCATTACTCTCTAAGCTATGTAGAACGACGTACAACAGAAACGTTTTTTTTGTGGTTTTGACAACATAATCTTAAAAAAAAAAATCATATATATATATATATATATATATATATATATATATATATATATATATATATATATATATATATATATAGATGTATGTGTATATATATATTCATTCATACACACACACCTATATATCGGTAATTTACTGTAATCATGCCTCCTCATTAGCCATTAAATGTATACAATGAAAACCCAAAATGGAATATGTGTAGGTTTTTCTTTATCAAATGTAATTTTAAACTTGGAATTATTTTTCCAGATACTTTAAAAATATTCAAAACTTCAAAACAATTATAGCTAAGTTAACAATCTCAGTTTGATTAAAGCAATCCTTGCAAACATTAGTGAAACTGATAAGGATTGTGTCAAATATACTTTGAAGACCTTTGATCTTCTGAAATAAAGTGCATATTGTTTCTGAAATGATCTGAATGAACATTTCTTGACTTAAGACAAAAAAAAACATGGCTATTAGGGTTCATATCTGCACAGAAGATATATCCAGTGGTTTAGTCAAAAACAGTCTTAGTCTTGTAAAAACTGAAAATATTGAGGAATTCCATCAAAAATTAGCCGTCTATTATTTTACCTTTAATATAACTAAGACTAATAAATAGGCAAATTGATATAAAGCATTATATAAAAGCCCAAACCAAGATTTTTTTAAAAGAAAAAAAAAATTCTCACCTCATAAGACTGTAACAGTACAGAGGGCCTGCAGCCAT